TGTAGTCCCAGCTACTCGGGAGGCTGAGGCAGGAGGATCGCTTGAGCCCAGGAGTTTGAGGTTGCTGTGAGCTAGGCTGACGCCATGGCACTCTAGCCAGGGCAACAAAGCCAGACTCTGTCTCGAAAAAAAACAAAACAAAACAAAAAACACTAACCATTCTTCCTTAAATATTTTATTTTTGGAATAGCTTCAGAATAAATTCTGCATGTGATCTCTAAAGTATATACTGTTCCGACGATTAGCAAAATGATTTCATCAACAGTGGCATTCTTGTTACAATAGTCGGGCAACTGTTTATTTTTTAAAAAATGTGGGTTGAACTGTTGCAAGCCTGTAAAGCAGAATCAGAGCCCTGCAGCCCCCAGTGGTGGTTGACGGGTATTTCTGCAAGCCTAGATGCACTCTCAGCCCCTTAAACTTTTGTAATTTCAGGGTCATTGTAAGTTCTAAACATGTTCTTTGACTGGAATTTTCCATTTCAAGACTATATTGATTTCTTTCTTTGCTTTATTATTTGATTCAAAACTTTTATCTTACATTTGCCTGGACTCCTGCCTGCAGTGACATAAAGAAACTCTTGCTTGATCCAGAATTCACTCTCCTACAGAGGTGCCTGCTTGTTTCAAGGTAAGATCATTGGAAGTGTTCTGTGTGAGAGACAGAGAATTTCAAGTTAAGTCATTTCTCTTAAGAGTTTTTAGTTAGGAACAGACTCTTAGATTTTTAGAAAAATGTATCGGTTCATCCTTTAGATTTGACTTAAAATAATTTTGAGAGTAGTAATACAAATAGGGGAAAAAATCAAATTACATTTTAAATGTGAGATCTAGGCCTTCTCTACTGAAATGACTCCCTTCTGCAAACAGCTTTTTAACATATGTGTTTTAAAGATACAGATACAAATGGCATGTATTTAAATATACAATAAGTTGTATTTAGAAGAAATAACCTGTACTTCCTCATAGTACAGTAGAGTTGTCAATTATCAAAAAGGCCTTTTCCTCTACCCCCCAGAGAATAAATAGCAAATTACTTTCACACCTAATCTAGCCAGTTATCCCAGAACTTCCTCCTTATGTGAAGCTATGGCCCAAATTGCAAGGTGTGCTAACGGCAAACCGGGTAAACAGTTGATCTTCACACAGAACAGACAGTTGTTGGGGTCTGAAGGGGGCCTGTGCAGTCAGGCCCCTGTGTTGTTGGAGACCCAGTAGCAGGGCTGGAGGACTTGCTGCCTCTCCCCTTGCACCTGGCCAGGCCCAGATAGGACAGCACCGTGTCCCCGGTACTGCAGGTTACTCTAGGAAGCCCCGTCCTGGCCCAGGTGCGCTGTGTGGGTGTGGTCCTGACTTTGGCTCCCCCTTCTCAGGCTCTATGGCGATGAGTCGGAGCTGCACTTCTGGACTGTCGCTGCCCACTACCTGCACAGCTTGTCCCAGGAAAAATCAGCAAGCACCACAGCTACCAAAGAAGCTGCTCCTCGGGACAAATTGAGCAACCCACTAGATATATGTTACGATATACTCTGTGAAAATGCCTATTTTCAGGTATTATACTTTATATATTAAAACCTTTAAAGCTATCATCTGGGTTACTTAAGTCTTTGTAAGTATCTTACACTTGGGAAGCTTTCAAACTAAGTTAATGTCCACATAACAGAAATAAGCCCCTTGGCACATTTGCATAAAAAGGGCCTTATTCAAGAGAATATAAACACTTAACTGTGTTTTTTAATATACACTTAATTATTAAACAGTCTTAATTTTTGTCTTAAATTTTTAAACTTAGATTCATTTTGATTCTCTCATTTT